ATATCAGATCTTTTACCATGAGAAATCTTAAGTCTGCGCTAGTAGTAATAGTCAAGTTATAAGAGAAGAAAGATGCACGCACATCTGCATTTTTTAAACTAAAGACAATCAGCGTTAGCTCTTATTTTACTATTAAACAAGAGAAAGTTACTCTGTGGTTGTTCTTGAATCATGCTGTGTCAGTGGCAGCCTGCATACAACTACAAATTTATAATATAGGCGATAAATCCCCCCCCCCCACACACACACACTCACATACACACACGGTCTTTGCTGAAACCAAAGTAGATTCTCTGAACCTCCAGAAAACGACCCTACCGACCCTACCGATCCGACCCGACCCGACCCGACCCGACCGCACCGCGCGTATGGCACCCCTATTAATAATAGATAGCATTTGTATAGCGCATGTCCCCACACGAAAGCAAGCTCTGTGCGCTTTACACTATATTACAATGCATTACCCAGCAGACCATAAAACCCCCAGAAACATTCTCAGCTTCCCGGGAAGGATACAGTGCAAGCAGCCGGTTAAGTACTCAAACACTAATATACTGACGAGATCCTTCACCGTCTATCTTGGAGTAACTATTAATATAATATAGTTACTCCCAGGTGTCTATAGCTGGGTACCCATTCCCGCCTGGGTGAAGTGGAGGAAAATTCGTGTAAAGTGTCTTTCCCAAGGACACAATGTCGGGCATACGGCTCGAATCCACGAACCCGCAACTTCACCATTACACGAGTAGGGCTGGGCAACGAGTCGTTTTTGCAAAGTCCGGATAATCTGTTAGTGCATCTCTTCGGCAAATATTAATATGATACGAGTTATTATGAACCGCTTTGGCAAATGGGTTAGAACCACATAGGCAAACGGGTCAGGAAAGAGAGTTAAGAGTCAGAATTCGGATAATGTTTCATTGAGATTATCCGGTTATCCTTATAGATTATCCAGATTTTGCCCACCTTTAATTACGAGTCCGGTAGTCTTTGCTTCGTCCTCGGATGTCTGGCACGTATAACTGTGACTGTGATTGTCACTGTGACTGACTGTGTGTCTCTGTGACTGTGACTGTGACTGTGACTGTGACTGTGACTGTGGCTGTGACTGTGTGTCTCTGTGACTATGACTGTGACTGTGTGTCTCTGTGACTGTGACTGTGGCTGTGACTGTGGCTGTGACTGTGGCTGTGACTGTGACTGTGACTGTGACTGTGGCTGTGTGTCTCTGTGACTATGACTGTGACTGTGACTGTGGCTGTGACTGTGACTGTGACTGTGACTGTGACTGTGGCTGTGTGTCTCTGTGACTGTGACTGTGACTATGGCTGTGACTATGGCTGTGACTGTGACTGTGGCTGTGGCTGTGTGTCTCTGTGACTGTGACTGTGACTGTGACTAAGACTGTGACTGTGGCTGTGACTGTGGCTGTGACTGTGACTGTCTGTGACTGTCTGTGACTGTGACTGTGACTGTGACTGT